CTGGATATGTTCCAGGACAGCGAGGCATAAAAACATTGATTAACTCCCAGAAAGATCTTACAGTAAAGGTTAGAGTGTCAAAGCAAGATAGTAATCGGTCTGAAAGTTTTCAGTGACATAGCGCTTCAGGTTCAATCACCCTTGCTCATTACACGTGGAGTGTCTTGCATTTCTTCTCATGTCATTTGCTTTGATTCTCCAGAGAACCCGAGCACCCCTCACGCCAGCCTCACAACAGGCAAGTGCACAAGTGACAGGTGACACAGATGTCTCCAAGGGAAAGTTGCTTTTTCATAATACCATTTGCAGATACGTCGCCGAAGATTTCAGATCCCCTTTGCCTTAATGTAAAAAATAAATATCTGTTGGGTTTTAGTGGCATTAACAGTGCATCTGATTTTGATGTTATATTCATGATATTCACCTCACTACATTGCAGTGATGTTGAGGTTTTAATTTGCTGTAATCAGAAATGGTAACTACATTTTATTTACTTTTAGGAACCAATCAAGCATAACATTCTGCAGTCTCATGGCATATACTGTAAATATACAGTGTATTGATTTAACAAAAACATGCATAACAAAGAACAAACATAATAAACAATCTGCAGTAATATGAAAGGCTGATATTTGTAACTATTAACAATATTATCACATTTCAAATTCAATTAACTCCTAGTCCCTGTCTCCCCATACAGGAGGTCATTTTCATGGCTTAACAATGTTAATGTGTTACTTGTCTTTTTGATCGCCAGGGTCTCTTTCTGGAACAGAATTTCATATAGGTAAGTTAAAACACTCAATAAGACATTTGGCCTACAAATTATTGTAGCATATTATTTACAATATTGTGTTCTTAAAAATGTGCGTTGGTTGTGTAACTCAAGTTATCAAAATTCTCAAACATGAGAGTTAAAATGAGATAAAACTAGAGAGTTCAGAATGTAAAAGTGTCATTTCCAAAGTTGAGTTTTTGTCCATTTTATGACTGACCAACAACAAATTCAAAAATTAGAAATTGTCTATACATTGAAACCTTAACCTTACCCTAGTTCGGGCATTGGTAGATCTACAGTACATCTATAGCTTGGCCTTCAAGTAAATGAAAACTCAGAAAAAGATGTGGGAAAGCAGGAGAAATGTATATAGTACAATAATTCAGAAATGTACAAAACCTTTTTGAGCACTGTAAATTAGATCATTAAGAAGTGGAATGTGTATGGGTGTCTTCAGTTTGAGCATTTGTGTTTAGAATAAAATATTAAGTTTGGAAAAAAATATGTTTGGATCATCATTTAACTTTACAAAATGGGACATTACAGGAAGGGTCTGAACACATTTACAGGGCACTATAAACACTAGCACTAGCATAATTCAAGATTGTGTCAATGACTTTTACTTGAAATTTGTGTTTGACAAACAATTATAACTTAATTGATGGTTTCCTCTGTCTGTAGGCAACAGAAGAATTCTGGTGGCAGGCAGCCTCCCGTCAATCACAAGCAAGTATAAGATAACACACACCACTGTGAAGACTGGGGTTGGGTTCAAGAACCTTTAGCTGAGAATCAATACTTTAAGCCAGTCCCATGAAGAGATACTATAGAAAAGGCACAGGTAACATGTCTCTAAGCATAAAATTATACCATTGTAGTGATGTCGTCTATGATTCTCATGATCATTCAAGCTCTTCATTATTTGATACTGGTCTTGTGGCGCAGTGTATTTCTCCATCTTTTGTCGAGGCTCTGTGGATTGGTCACATAAAGAGACTTGCACTCGACATACAGTACAGTACAAACAAAGAAACAGTGATTTCAGCCCATTAAAAATACAAATTGGGGATTTGGGGATATCACTGGAGATATCATGGTAGCCAGTCCAAGGTTACACTCTGGAGGAGTTTCCATGTTGACAGACTTTGATGTGTTAATTTTACTGGCCAGTAAGTTCAGTATGTTTATCCAGAGTATTGACAAACCTATAACTATTGTTATGCAAAGAACAGAATTATATAGGTGAGAATATAAACAAGAAAAGGTAATTCAGCACATCATGCCCATTTATCTGCCGTTTATTAGTCAAGGAATCTCATTTAGGTTTTTCTTAAAGCTCTCAGGAATTCAACCTGTTACATAAATAATGCATAGACATACAAACCCTGTACATGAATCGCCTCCTCTACCTTAAATATATCTGTTTTTCATGTAACCTCAGTAAGTGACCAGAAAATCCTTCTTTTGCTTTTCATAGAGTTAATAATGTAGACTTAAGCAGTGGAAAGTGCCAGACAAATAAAGTTTCCAAACCACCTTTCCCTTCTCCTAAAAAGTAAGTGTTTTCAATTGAAACAAGATGACTGAGTTTCCATAATATCTGCATTATGTTTATAAGTCTTGAAGAACACCTTGTGTTTTTACCCACATACAGTATATGACAATTATGGTCTTATAATTTAAGAGAATTACTTAAATTTGATGGTTGAATAAAAAATAACAATGTTGTCAATATCTACAGTAATTCTCCATTACAATCAGGAACTCTGAGTTGTCTCAGATATCATGGTAGTATACAATTAAATATACTAGTATACAACTAAAAGGCCACTCTAGTGTATAATGTATTCTCTAGGAATACCATAGAGAATGACATTACAATAATTACTGTTTTACAATAATGACAGTACAACATTAGCTGTAACAATATTTTTGTCTTTTGCAGAATCGACAAGAAACCTGTTTTTTTTCCAGACAGTCAGTGTGATTTTTCCAGGCACAATGTTGGATATACAGAGGTACAGTAGGTACTCCCTTCTGCAAATAAAGGGACAAAACTCACTTTCCATGTTGTGTAGTTTGAAAACAGTTTAATAATCCAAGTTCTTTGGATGCCTATGGGAAATTCAAGGAAATCATTTGCAAGTTTTATAGTTTACAGTTATTTATTTCCATTCAGTTATAGGAAAATAAATAACTTTGTCACTTTAGAGGAGACAGAGGTAATGCATATGATATTTTAAATAAATTGTGACTCCTCAATTACGAATATTACCAGCTCTCATTGTACTGTTCTTATCACTTACACTAAAGGTTTCCATTTCGCATTTCTGCAATGTGATTCTGATGAAGTGCCTTAGAAATGCCTAAGCCTCTTGTGAAAACCCACCCATATTCTCGCCTAATGGAAACCAGCTAGCTAATTTGCTCTGTTTGAGAATAAGGATGCTAAATTTTAATTTTGTATTGTTCCAAGTAACTTTATTTGATCTCAAAGTGACTACTGTTCATCATGATTTGCTCTTTCATACTGGATCTCATATCTAAGCAAGGTTATAAATACCATCCGTCTTTGTAACGTACTCCCATTCCCTTGACTTCATCCCATCAACTCTGACATCTCTGTTGCCTTTCTCAACCTCTTCATGGCCTTCCCACACACCATTGTAATTTAATATAGATCTCCTTCATGATTTAATTACAGTGTCACATGGAGACAATGGGAGTATATTTCCATGTACAAATTCACTGTATAGTAAGTAGCATTAGCTATTAACCTTTAAGATCTGAGTTTCAGAAGAGCAGTTTCAAGTTTATTTAAGTTGTTTCTTCTTCTTTAGTTTTATCTCCTCAGCAATTATGTGTTACTAATATGTTGCTTTACTCTTTACAAAAATGACCTTTAGGAAGATGATGACATTCCTGATTATGAGAATTCTGCGACTATGGGAACCAGTTATGACAACATTTATGCCAACATGTAGATGGGCAAGAACTTTCAAGAAGAAAGATTAGAACCGACAATCAAACTGTTTCCAGCTCACAAAAATAAATCACCAAGAGATTATTTTTTTGTCATCATTCTACTTCTACTTTAGCATTCAACTGTCTAGATATTCCATGAGATATTTTAAAATGTTAACCTGTGTAACTACTGTATGTACATACCTACGTTATGTTTGCCTTGCAGAGAGAACTGTGTATCTATGATCATGTCCTAAAATTCATAGACTAATAGGTATATTAGTTACCTCAGAACTCACCAGAACTACAGGTAAAGATGGGCTGTAGGTGTTTAGAACTCTTTCCATTTGCTGCACAGAAAAAACATCCTGTATTGAAGCTTCCTTCCAATCCATGAACAATTAATAGAAGATATTGTACAATGCTCTAACACTTTACTAATCATATTGTTATAAAAACTGTATTGTGAAGAATTAGTATTTTGGTAACCTGTGCTAAATAAATTAAACTGATTGTTATTGAACAGTGTTTCTTCCTTTTTGTATTATAGACACTACCATGATTTTAATTGCATTCTAATTGCATTGGAAGTAGCAAAGCTAGTTCAATTTCAACTGTCTTTCTGGAGAAATGGCTTCAGATCCCAACCTTGTCGTTGACTAGTTATATTAGTTTCGAACAAGCTAAACAGCCATGCTGTTGAAACTGATAGCCTGGTCTCCTTCAAGAAACAACTGACTGAGATGTAATTACTAAGAAATAAACTTACTCCTTTTATTTGGTCCGAAGGATGTACAGTATACATATAGAACGTGCAAAGTTCAGCTAAGACATTCTGTGGAATATAGCATTAGCATCAGCAGATCAAAAGATGTGCCTGCAGTTTATTCTTTCTTACTGTCGCTAGGCAGAAAAAGCTTGTTATCAAGAACAGTTACTATCTTGTACACTTATGCTAAAATTCTTCCTCATTTGTTACCACAGCTCCTTTGGCCACATATTTGCAGTGTCAGCTTAATGCCTATGCAGGATCTGAGATGAGTTTTGCTCTCTGCCAAGCAGGTCAGATTTGTGGACTGACTGGGCTATTATAGACTCACGCACATTTTCACTCAGCCATTGAACTCTGTTGCTCTTGCAAATTCACCACTGGCCTCACAGTTGCAGTCCTACTGTATACAGTTTTCACCATGTGCATGTCTGGAGGACAGCCAGAGAGATGAAGTATCTGGATGGAATTGTACACATTCCACTGCATTCTGACCTAATAGAGAGCGCATTTTAATTTTTTAAAACATTTTTTCTGATCTTTTCCACAACCTTATTGTTTATAACATTTTCCTCTTCTTGATGATTGATTAAGAAGCATGACTTCTCAAGCTCAAAGAAATATTTAAGGTTTTTATTTTTCAGATTATTCTACTGATCAGTCCCTTATTCCCTGATTTGTTTTGGAAGCTCTTTGGCCTTCTTTGTTAAACAGTTGCTTAAAATTCCCTACTCGACCGTTGGACCTCACAGGTACAGGTGTCTAAACAGATAGAGTGGTACTCCCCATGTTTTTGTTTTTTCATTTTCTTTTCAGGATGACAAACTACTTTTAATTTTCTGTACCTTTTTCTGTGTCTCTTTTAATGCCTCTTGAGCTATTATTCTTCTGTTAGATGTCATGGTTAATGAGGAGGAATGAATCCTTAAAATCTCTTAAATCCTTATATTACAAAACAAATACCACATACAAGACAAACACCACAATATATTCCTGTTCAGCTCAAACTGTTCTTTTCTTCTTTTGGACACCAGCTCAGACAGTTGCACCCCCACTCTCAATGATCCGGCTGAGCCGCACCAGAAACTCCCACAAAAATACTGTTTAAAACCCCTTCAACCTACTGCATCTCCGCCTCCAACTGACGCAGCCACAACCGGCCACAAAACAGAGAACACTGGCTCCTTACAGAGTCACAGAACATGGAGATCTGTCGTCACAGTCTACCTGGGGTTTTTGCTACGACATCTCCTAGTGACAACACAAACGGTCAATCAAAGCCTCTTCAGCCTGCCCTTGACTCACCCTGAGTCCTCAGTCCCACAGTCTGAGGTCCCCCTGATTTTGCCAAGAGGACTTTCCCAGCCCCGCCAGCTCGCCTTCTCAAAGAGAAGAGAGGACACACTTACCTGGTGTGGTACCCTGCTCGCAACGCCATATTGTAGAGTAAAACTCCACTGGAGACGTTTTTGTTGAGCAGAAGAGGAGTTGATTTGCCTGAATAGAAGCATCCTCCCTGCAATTAGGAGGATTGTTCCAACAAGAAAGGTTACAGCTAACCTTTTATACACTTACTTGATAAGGAAGACAAAGTCTCACAAAGAAAAACTTCGATCTTATTGAATTTCTATTGGTTAAGCAAACTTCTACTTCAATCATAAGATATCTACAGTATGTAACTGAGCTGTATCGGTGTTTTCTAATAGCAGGTAGTTGTGATTGGCCTTCTACACATAAAATATTTCTTTCCGATTCTTAAAACAAGCATTCCTTTGTGTTTGCAGGCCCCTGGTCTTATCAAAAGCAGATAAATTCAATGTTGCAGCTGGTGTTTTGCTGAACAAGGTGAACAGAGAAATAATTTAACCCTTCAGATGAATGGATAGATTGATAAAAAACCTGTTAATGAAATGGAACATAAATGCAACAAATTATTTAGTTTTATGACCTATATGATGCCTAAGGTAACAAAAAAACAAATTTTAGAAAAAAATAGGAAATGTGCAATACAGTAAATATGAAATTCTAAGAGATGTGTTTTTTTTTATTCTCACAAAACAAGTTGAAAATGGGGAAGGCCAGATAAAAACGAAACTTTCAATTTACATTAACTGAAATGTATTCTCACAAAACAAGTTGAACATAGGGAAGGCCAGATAAAAATGAAACTTTCAATTTACTTTGACTGAAATAACCAATCACAAGATTAAGGGGCAGAGACAAAAATCTATGACAAACATATAAGGAGATGCATTACCCCAGTCAGAGGAGACTTTGAGAGAGAATCTAAGAAACCTGGAGAAGCTGATCAGCATTGCTCTACAGAATCTCAAGACCACAGGTAAGATCAACAAGATCAAAAGTTTAATTTTGCCTCACAGTTTTCCACATTATCCTTTATAACATTTTCCTCTTCTTAATGATTGATTAAGAAGCATTACTCCTCAAGCTCAAAGAGATATTTAAGTTTTTTTAATCTTTTCAGATTATTCTCCAAATCAGTCTCTTTATACCACTTATTCCCTGGTTTGTTTTGGAGACTCTTTGGGTCTTCATTATTAGATCATTGCTTAAAATTCCTTACTTGACCTCACAGCTACAGGTGTCTTTATAATGAAACCATGCAAACCACTGTGTTGTACACAGACAAGCACCAATTAAGTCAATTGATTAAATTGATTTCCCACAGCAAATTTCTTCCTGAATGTGTGGTATAGGATGTGTATTTAACATGTAATAATAGCCTCTTTAAGCAAAAATGTGACAACAAAATGTCAGAATACATTTGAAAGACCATGTACTGTACATTCTTCATAGTGGCATTGGATTTTTTTTAATTAAAAGTCGTTTTGAAAATGAATGTGTAAGGATGAAAATATCTAGACACGCTCAATTTAAATTCAACTTTCCAATGAGCATATTTGGTGATTTTGACACTTTACTTTTTCTATTTTTAATTTTTATTTTAAACAAAGTAAATATGTTGCTTATTTATAATATCTAGTGGTATAATCAAATACTTCTCAAACTTTGTTAAAACTGTTTTCTTTTACTTCTCCATTTATTCTGAAGGATATCATGGGGAATGAACATTCTAACACCCATGTGGCCAATGCAACAGGGAAGCCTCTTCGGATATTTTATCAAGTGGATAAAATGAGGATGGATGAAATGGTGATAGACTCATCATTTAGCTTAGAAGGATTAACATCTAGGACCCAAATGATTTTTAGGCCTGACACCAGGATCCGGTACATACGCTTGCCTGCCTACGACTACTCCAAAATTGCCGGAGAAGGAGCCATTTATGTCTCTGTCTTTGTGGAAGATGAGCAGGATGAAAAGCTCTGCATTAAAACAATTTCCCTTAACTTCCATATCCCCTCTGACAGGTCCTTCATTGTGACTGCGAATCACAACATTAGGTTTCAGAAGTATGGCGCAAACATTTGGATCGATGATGAGGGATACAATCATCGTTCATAGTGGATTCTTTGTCTTAAGAAGTACTGATTTCAGAACAATTAGATCACAGATGTAGGGTCAGAAAATACAAATCCTTTCATCATTACAATACTGCCTAATAAATGGACATAGTGACAAATCTCTATAGCCTACCTGTTAATATGCTTCCTGAGCAGTTCTAAATGCTAACATTCTAAATGGAGAAGTAACTGTAATATGAAATACAGGGAAAGGTTTTGTTTTTGTTTTAGACCCTATATTTAAATAAAGTTTGGCAAAATGTATCTTGTGCTTTCACAGCATTTTTTATTTCTACTAGACATATTATGATCATATGAACCAGTATTGCAGTCATAAACACCCATTTCTCTAATGCTTTTATGAAGCTGTTAAAAAGTGAGGTATGTTCAAATGCACTAATACACTCAGAGCAATGGTCAAAGTGGAAACATTGAGTTTAAATACTTTAATACGCAATACACTGGAGCTTTGACATCATATAACATTGTGCATTTGTTAAGCCAGCTTAAATAGCTTGTAAGCCCCTCCCCCTCTGTAACAAACCATTTCTCCAATTCATGTGCATGTGGTTCTTCCCATCTCCATAAATAAACCTTGAGAAGTGGGGTTAGGTTTGGCCTTCTGAGGCCACCATAGGCTGACCCACCCCGGAAGTACCAACACCAAACAGTGAGTATCATCCATTTTGAGAGCACTCTCCATTCACACCACAATACTCACTCATACCTGTGTTTAAGTATGTGAATGTATATGAAATTAAGTAATAGCAGTTACTAGTCAAGCCCTGAGTGTGCACCATCTGGAACTTGTCAGGCAACCGCTCAACGGAAGGTGTATGAATATGTATTTCCCGTGCTACCTGTGCCTCGTCACACAAGTAATGGATATCTTTTTTAGTACAGTAAGTCTGTCAATAATAATCACCTTGAGTAACAGAAATGGTCAACATACTATAAATATGTCAAATTGTCATAGTCACAATGTAACCTGTAATCAACTCACTTTGAAAAAACATACGCACACTATATTCTATTTTTTTCATAATGGCTGTCAGTGTTATAGTTAACCTTTGTGATATGAACATGGCTTAAGAAAGTTAAAATACAGGTTGTATCAAATTTGATTTATGAGCAGAAGACAGAGCAGAAAGCCAGTCTCCGAAGGTAAATACACAAGAGAGCAATACAGAGGCCTCCCAGAACTCCAACAGCATGCCATGGAGACCAGTTGAAATCTCCCAGCACCACAACAAAACACCCAGTGGATCAGCTAAATGCTTCCAGTGGAATGCCCAGAGGCAAAGTCTTCCAGTGCCTCACCTGAGTGTTCAGAGGACAAACTGGAGGGTCCCACAGCGCAGTTGGAATGATTGTTACTAATGATGTTTCAGAACACGAATGTCTTAAACCTTTTCCCACCAGCAAAAACCTGCAGATAGAAGATGATACGTTACACCATGAGTTACAAAAATATTTTGCTGAAAATACCCAGTATTTTAGAAATACCCAGTCTCACATCCAAACATCTAATCGAACTTGGTTGGTGTCTGCGGCAGGAAAAGGAGCAGACCTTCCCATCAAGCTGACAAAAGAAGCATGCAGCAGGCATTTAACAGAAACTACAGTACCTTTCTAAGTCTGTCTATATGAGCTGCATCATCCAAACAAGAGTAACAAAAGAAAATGATCCGGATGAAAGTACAAAGGTCTATGATATAGATGCCTATTAATGTTTTTGTTATTTTTTATTTGGTATGAATTTCCATATTGTACTGCATCTTGAAAATCTGGCTGCTTTACATCAATACATGAGAAAGAAGCTCCTGTAACTGAGCATTATCTATAATATGTAAAACGCCTAATAAGCCATTAGCTGATAAAATCAGAGAACTATGTACTGACACACATTGAAATTGGAATAAGCAAATGATAAATAATACAGTGTGGAAAATCCCCAGTTCAGGATAGCCATTTAGGGACTTTATAAAAAAAAATTCTTCAAAGGTTAAAAACAAACATCTGGGAGTAGATACTGACAGACACAGAATAGAAAATCAAATCAAAATATCTTCAGTTAGGACACTATTCAGAACCATAGATAGTAAGCAAGCCTTGTATTTACTAGAAGCCTTGTAACATATGTTTGAGATGCTCTCATTTCGAATGATATATTTCGTAGGGGTTTCACATTTCTGTATTAATTTTTAATGAGGTCTCAAGGAGTAAAATTGTGATAATACGGGTTCTCTTATTTTGAGATATTCTTTGAAGGTCTGTTAAACCGTTCACACATTTGAAACAATCTATCCAGCTGTGTTTGATCATCAAGACCAAAGTTGAAAGAGTGAAGGGTGTCTGTTACACATGCCCTGTAGTTAACAGATTTCCCTAGAGAACAGATACAAAGTCCAATCTTAAGAGTTCCTCTTATTGAGTCAACACAGTTACAGTTAATACAGTTACCAAAATACAACGGCCTTACCCAGTTCTTAAGAGGCTACTAAGTTAAAGAGCTGCTAAACTGTAGACTTCCAAGACTGGAGATATGGACGCCACTCAAAATGGTATTGTATACTGAAGGTTCAGGTAAATGACATAGGATTTGAGTGCAATAAAGGCATTGATTTTTGTATATTCGTATTAATTCAGTTACCTACTGAAACAGCATTCTGTATCAAAGAGCTGCATTGCAATAAAATGGAAGATATGTACATGGATATATACTGTAAATGGATATTAATAAAAAGCTAAAATGTAAAATATTTATATTCATAACACCGTTTGTACAAAATCATTGGTTGTCATGCCCTTTGTGAAAACATTTTGATCGAATTTGTAAGATTCAGTCTTGTCACAGATTGTCTGTGAAGCACTGGTGAAGGAGATTGGTATTTTAAATTAGGAAATACAGAACTGTCAGTTATTCTTACTGAAATGAGAATGTAATTATGAAAATTGTGGCAATGTGGAAAACCAATTATGCTGGCTCTTAAAACTGTTTTTTTTCACTTGAACTTTATTTCAGTAATTGCTAATGAAGAACACTGTACAATACATTTGCATACAATCAAAAGAATATCTGTAAATACAGTACATCTTAACATACTGTACAAATAAAACATTTCACAATTTAAAGACACATCAACATGTACAAAAAAGTGTTTTTATGCTTTAAATGTTATTACAGAAGCAAAACAATTAAATGCTCTACATGTATATTCATCCTGTTACAATTGATATATGCAATCTCTTTTCTTTGAAATAAAACAGATTCATTGGAGGAAAAAAAAGTTTAATTCCAATAGTTCCAATAAATACATCATACTAAAAATGCTTTAATTGTATTTAATACATGAAACTTAAAAATAAACCATATTTTGTGACTTTTAATAATTAAATACTTATTTTATAAAAATTATTTATTTAAAAGGCAATGCAAAAGACAATGAGCAGGTGAACATACAGTATACAGTACAGTAGCAATCCTGAAACAGCATAGACCTTATGTTTTTTTGCTAAAGTTCTACTCACAAAGTTGTAATTTTCTTTAAGTTTGATAGGAGTAATTTTAGTCTGGGTTCCTGATCCTTAAACTTAACATTTTCTTTAATCTGTTTAGTTTACAGTATGCTGCACAGCATATTCTTTATAGACGGTTTTACTCATTCATATTAATACCAACATTAGTTGGTCTTTTTTTATATCTCTATTGTACTTTTATTGATTTGTCTTTTTTATTTACTAGCAGTAAATACAGTATGAAAATTACTGCACAGAATCTCTACAGTTTTCTCTGGGTGTTTTGCATGGAGACGTGAAGGCGTTTTAGAACATTTTAAATAAAGTTTGGTCATGCATGTTAGTTTAGTAGTATATTTCATTGTGAACAACACTTTCTAATATTAAGCTAATAAAATAAATACAAAATTAATTCTGCTCTGGTCAACTGAACAAATTCTGGCAGTCAAGCTTTCAGCAAAAACAGGATAGGTCACCATTTATTAAGGAACGCAATTAAGGGGCTTTTAGTAGCTACTGCAGATTGGTTTGGGGCATGTATTTCTTTCCCAGAATTTTGAAACAAATCTCTTTGGATGTTTCCTGAAAACTAGAGGAGGAGAAGAAGAAAATGATGGGATCCAAGCAGGCGTTGAAGGTGCTGAGGAGCAGGACTGTGGTGCGCCACTCTGGGCTTTTCTGATTCACATAACCTACTATGTGAGAGATGTTGTAGGGCAGGAAGCAGAGGATGAAAATCAAAAGAGTACCAAGGGCCATGCCGATTGCTCTCAGCTTCTTCTGAGGACTGATGTTGGGCAGGGTGTTGAGGATGCGGATGAAATTTAAGTAGCAGAAAGTGGAGATTATAAGGGGGATGAGGAAAAGGACAATGCACAACTCCAAGCGAACAGGGAGCAGGACAGCCAGTTGTTTGTCGGTAAAATTGTCATAACAAACAGGCTCCATGGTCGTGTCCCTGGGGTACAAGAGTTCTGTTATGTAGACAATGCTGCAGTGGGCAGAGGAGAAGACCCAGAAAATGACACTGACCACGATAGCATGAACGGGCTGACGCTTGTACTTGTACATGATGGGGAAGGCCACCCCCAGGTACCTGTCGACACTGACAGCTGTCAGAATGAGGGTGGTGATGTAAATGGTGGAGAAGAAGACAAAGGAGCTCACTGAGCACAGGAGTCTCGGCAGGACCCAGTGCCCGTAGAAGGCTTCAGAGATTTTGAAGGGCAGGAAGAACAGAAAGATGAGGTCTGAGACCGTCAGGTTGAGCAGGAGAATGTCAGTGGGCAGCGGTTTGCGCCGAACTTTCACAATAAAAGCAGCAAGTGCCAGGAGGTTGCAAGGCAGGCCTGTCAGGAAGGTTACTATGTAAACGGCCAACACTGGATAATTTGCCATTATGGTCTTCTGGTCTTCCAGCAACTGCAAAAGCAGGGAAGAAAATAGTTTCAAATACATAACATGACTCTGATTGCAGATAGATATTGGTTCTCAATACCACATTCATGGGTGAGAGATCTGTCTCCTCAGATTAGTGCTTTTTAACCTTATCAATCATTTCTACTATGTACTCTATGTTATGTGGATTTGGAACTTTAAACCCACAGTTATTTCCCCTGTTCAATTGTCTCTAATCTCAATTTTGAATGTCAGGTTTAGAATATTGTCATCTTCCAAATCACCATCATTTGCATGCTAAGATAACGCCATGTCCTTATTAGAAATTAGAATATCATAACATTGTAAAATACTCAACCACAAAAGGGAATAAATTATAGTTGAATAGAATAAGATCTACAACAAAAAAATACTCTTTTGTACTGTCTCTAGGACAGTAACACTTTGTAATGTAGTTACCAAAAACTGAATGTAATATTTCAATTGATAATGCATTATTTCTATTACGTGATTTAAATTATTACACTCTTAATATTATATCCCAAAATTGTTGGTTGCTTTTATTGTTTTCCTGGACTTGTTGAAAAAAGTGAGGAAAGATCATATTTTGAAATTCTCTCTCACTTTTCCAGTTCAGTACCATCCATTTTAATCTGAAATTTACACTTTACTTTCCATAGGACATATCTTACCCCCACTGAATTAAACTTTCCAGCAGCTACGGTATATCACCCTGCAACTCACAATTGGCAACCCATTTAAGATAAGCTGATGTGAGCCTGGCCAGTGTCTGGATAGGTAAAGCTGAGGTTGCTGCTGGAAGAGTTAGTGGGACCAGTAGGGGGTTCTCACTCTGTAGTCTGTGGGGGCCCAGTGTAGTGATGGGGACACTATACTACAAAAGTGCCATCCTTCAGCTGAGATGTTAAACTGAGGTTCTGACTCTCTGTGCTCATTAAAAATCCCAGCACATTTCTCGAAAAGAGTAGGGGTTTAACCCTGTGTCCTGGCCAAATTTCCCCCTGGCCTTTACCACTCGAAGCCTCCTAATTATCCCAATTTATGAACTGGCTTTGTTACTCTATTGTCCTCCCCACTGATTGCTTATTCTTGGTGAGCGTACTGGTGCACTTTGGCTGCCATCCCATCACCACAGATTGGTTTCCACATTACCTGTAAAGCAAGAGTGTCTTCAAAGTGGAGTGTCCAGAAAAGTGTATACTCCACTGAGTGGAGTGGAGTGGAGTGTCCAGAAAAGTGCTATATATTGTTAGTGTGAGGAATTATTATTACAGTATGTCTCTGGAGTCACAGTATTAAGATATGCCTAAATCTTTTTGTATTAATGAGTTGCAATTAGATTACTTGAAAAACTAACCTTTTTTGCATAACTTGCAAAACAAGTACTTATAATTGTCTTATCCAAATGAGGGATGTGTTGCAGAATCTAGATTACTTACATAGATTAGGAATAGCAGCACTTTAGAATAAATGTTTGCGGTGATATACTAATGACCTCAATGATAATTAGATAACTCTCCTTGAACCTTTTATTTCCTGCTTTAAATTTTTAGCAGTGTTGACGTTTATCTGGGATCTCTGCAGCTTTATGACTGAGGTCTAAGTCTATTAAAAGACTTCTAAAGGTTGAAATTCAAATTTACACACTAAAATTATCTACAGCATAAATTACTCATTATAAGAAATTAGTACTGTATTTTGGAATGTCCTGGTGAGGAATCTACAATTTCCATGAAACAACAGAATAAATGTAATAATCAGGGAACCTGATCACATACAGTATAAGGTATTAAGCTGTTTTGTGCATTTTAGTTATTTTGAGGTTTTACCTTCTCTTGATCTGCTGACTTTTTCCCTTCTGAAGACCTGGATCCATACACTGTAAGCAGGATGGCTCAGAAACTGAAGCATTCTTGAAGTTAAGGTGAAGCCCCATCATTCAACTGAAGGTTGAATTAATAATTTACAGTAGTTCTAGTTTTGGATTCACCAACTCAATTTGCTGTGCGTTTTTCCCAATTTTTTTGCTCTTGTCTTGGACAGTCAAAGTATGAAAATGAGTAAATAAACATAACCACTTATCTTAATATGCTGCTACTTTATGAGGGCATAATGAGCAAGAAAACTAAATGTTGAAAAGGAACAAAAAACACGTTTAATTTTTGATGTCGCCAACTTGGTTTCCCACTATGTCTGTGGCTATGACAATGAAATATTTTCTCAAGCCTGGTTGGTTCACTGGTTGAACTGGTTGATATCACATCCCGAAAACACACAGCTGCGTGGCCATACTTACCAGGTCATAGAGCAAATACAGTATTTTCTTTTTGATAGCCTGTCACAAATGTTGACAAAAGGTGCCCTAAACACAGCTGCCCTATTGATGCACACCTCCTGGTACCCTAAAACATACAATATAAGTTGTTCTTAAAAAATGGAAAAAATTGAGAACATATACAGTATGCAGGTAATTGCTAGGTAAATTATTCTAAAAAAGTCACAGCCAAGCATTTATGCATGTATACTTATAACAGGATTTTATGCAGCTTCGGAAATATAAAAATACAATTTTTTTTACTTTGTATTTTGTAGGCAAATATACAGTAATATACATGATATAAGATATAAGCATTTGTTCCTTTAACAAACTGACCTTGTCATGTGTGAATTTAAGTCTATGTCTTTGTGAGTTGTGCAATAATTACTGTAACATACACAATTTATGACATAATTATTTTCTAAAACAAACATCTTACTAGTCAGTATCCAGATTGCATCTTCATGTGCTGTTCAAGTGCATTAGAAAATCACGATCACATGATCACTTCCACTCTGTAAACATTTTTTACAGCTAAATAGACTACTGTATATGGTTAACCATGTTAAAAGCAAATGTACAGTATTAACTGCATTAAAGAGAAGCTGAACAACCATACCAATAGACGTGGTCTTGCAGCAAGGTATAGATGTTTTGATGTCTTTAATACATTTCATAAATTACACAATGATCCAGTAATAATCAAGAAGCATTGATGAATCAAGAATAATTGATCATTTACAAAAATGTTCCAGAAATTAACATTCAAAAACAGAAAGACATATTAAAGACACAATCTAATTGTATCTAAGAATATTGTGTTGCAAAATTATTAAATGTAAACTTTAAGAACTAAGGTCTAGATTTGCATTTAATCCATGAGGCTGCTTCTGATTCCTCTGTGAACATATTTATTCATTAAGCTAATATTTCTTAGTTCAATTATGTTCATATAAAGTAGTTCATACCTTTCAATTCTCCACAAATTCCGTATCGAGGCAGAATCATGGTTCTTTGATCATGGCTTTGTACTGTTCATGCATAATCCATATTGATGTCTCAAATCATATATTTATGTTCTGCTATTTGTTTTCCACTAGTTTGAGCATAAAAAAATCAAATTATTTGGAAAAAAGTGCAGCACAGCACATATTAAGTATTTGTTTTTAATTAGAATAAACTTTTGAATGTCATCTTAGAAATCTGTAGTAAACATAGTTTTGAGAATGAAAACTATTTCTTGAAATCATAGCAGCATATTCTTTATACTAATGTATAATATTCACCTGCAGAATAAAAAAAATGTGATTTAAAATTATTGTTGTATGTTATATAAAATATAAATAATCAAATGCTTTTTCTAATACACCATTGTTCCTATCGTTCAAAGTTTGCAGAGAATGAGAAAGGAGTTCTTTTTTCCAATAACACTCTTACTGTATCATTAATATTTGTAGTCTGTTTTAAAGGCTATTTATCATACATGTTTTTGTTCTAAAGTTACTATTTAGTGAATTTAGTTGAAAAAATTACCTTCCACACAAAGTTGAGAAGTGACAGATAAGTCCAAAGAGATTTGTCACCTCATCTCATTCAGGAAATGCAGTACTAAATTTATCAGACAAATATTTATACTGTGGAGATTGCTGGGGCGGAGGCATAATCATTTCCTTCAATTTAAGCTTACTCGTGGAAAAATCTAACTGTACATTAGGTTTTTGACAAGCTTAAGTGAGTAAATGATTATTTCTCTCTTCTTTTCAAAGGCAATCCTCTTAATTAGATAGATTGTTTGTGTTTGAGTTGGCACAGTGGTTAGCATTGCTGTCTCCACAGTGCAGAAGCCCCAAGTTCAAGTCCTGGGGTGCTACAGTATCTGCTTAGAGATTGCACGCCCTTCGCATATTCACATTAGTTTCCTCTGGATGGTCTAGTTTCCTCCCACGGTTCCGAAGATGACTGACTGGTTAATTGGTTTCTGGAGAAAGTATTGGTATGAGTGTGTGTGTGTCCTGTGATGGACTGGTGTCTCGTCAAGAGTGTATCCCGCCTTGCATCTGTTGCTTGCTGGGATAGTCTCCACCTCAACCTGACCCTAATTGGATAAAGCTGTTAGAAAATGAATGGATGGTAGGATGGATATTTAAGTTTTTCAGGGTTTTTTTTCCACTTCACCGGGAATTTCTATAGTCATGGTCTACAGTATGTGTGCATGGGGAGAATTCTCTGTGGTGCAATACTCAGACATGTAATCATCTTACAAAAAAAAATCTGGGAAATGAACTCCCCCATTCTTCTTTACTGGTGGTGCAACAAATAACATCAGCACCAGAACACTTTCATAGGTTTACAGAAACAAGTTGGTTATTTTTCTAGAAGAAAGCTTTGGGCATTTTGGGGCAAATACTTTGGGTATATACAGTAGTTATTGGGCAATCCTTCACTATGCAGTATACCAATGGCCCAAAACGCATACCAGCTGAATGTAGATCGAAAACCTTTGGGGAAGTTAAGTCTTTACCTACAGTATTTATGTGAATGTACAGTAGCACTTACTTAACAATTGCCAACATTTAGGATATTGCTGTCAATAACACTTGCAATATTTGTTTGAACTGTTTTGTCAATTGGAATAGATTCTTTATTATTGTAACCACTGTTGGTTTCATTTTAGTTATTTTGTTTTAAGGTTTGCTCTTGGTTGAAGATGGTTGAGTTGTTGTTTTGTTATACCTGTCCCTTGACTATGCACCAGTGAGTCACTCCTAATTACCCAGGTGAATACAGTCATCAAGAGAGGTCCCACAGGGAGCTCATTTGATTGTGAGCTGAGAGGAGGGGTGTTGGAAAAGTGCAGTTCTAGAGTTAGTTAGAACTTTTTTCAATCAAACCGTAAAGGAAAAGGACCACTTGAGAAGTATTTGTGTTTATTCTAATCTCTATCTTAAAGAATGTACTCAAGAAAAAACAAATAACTCACACAAATAATAAGAATTACTCAGTATAATTTTTGATTTACCGTTCCAATGAATTACAAACTACACTCATTTGATCATTTTGCTCCATTAACACTTTATCTTTTAAGAAAAGCATTAATGAAATTAGACTATATGGTTAACTTAATGGTTAACTTCAGTATTAACTCATTTGGTTGATGAAATAACAGCGTTGGTCATTGTGAGTCTGGCCAGTGCCTGAATGGGAGACCTGCTGGGAAAGCTAAGGTTGCTGCTGGAAGAGGTGTTAGTGGGGCCGGTAGGGGGCGCTCATCCTGTGGTCTGTGTGGGTCCTAATGCCCCTGTATAGTGACAGGGACACTAGACTGTAAAAAGGCGCCGTCCTTTGGATGAGACGTAAAACCAAGGTCCTGAGTCTCCATTAAAAATCCCAGGGCGTTTCTCGGAAAGAGTACAGGTGTTATCCAAGTGTCCAGGGCAATTTTCCCATTGGCCCTCACCAATCATGGCCTCTTAATAATCCCCTTCTATGAATAAGCTTCATCACTCTGTTCTCCTCCCTACTGACAGCTGATGTGTGGGAGCATACTGGAGCACTATGGCTGCCGTGGCATCATCCAAGTTGGATGTGGGAACAGGAAACAGGTGTGAATGGATGGCTGTGTTTCCAAAAGAAATTTAGAGATGATTGAACCGGACTGTTACGAACACTACCGTCTTTAATAAATATAAAGTTATGAAGACAATAATACAGAGTAAATGATAAAATGATTTAGAGAAAATAATAAGTCACATAACAGGTTCTTAATAGGTTAATAGGTTCTTTGAGCAAGCAACTGTAAGCAGATCATTTTGAGGTACACTGCCTTTCTTAAAATATTCAGTTTCAGACAGCTATGGAGACAACGTGAAAGATCACTTCTAAAATTGAAATATGTAAAGTCACAGGTAATATTGGAGTGAGGTCAAGGAGGTACCACAAGGAATTGTATTAGAAACTTTTCTATTCTTAATTTATATTAAAATTTAGACTCAAGCAGAAGAAACTATGTACTGTATGAGAAAGATCTAATCACTTTCCATATGTGGAAAAGAAAAAAAATGCCTACACACTGTATGGAATTCATGTAATATGTAAGTATGCGCATGCAAGCTATGCGTTTGTAGAGTAAAATTTGAAATTTAAATATAAAGTTAAAAGTGTAAAATTTAAATAAAGAAAAGAAATATTGCTTGATACAACAGTTCCCTGAGAATATTATGGATGATACTGTAGCCCAAAAACAAAAAAAAGATTATATCTGATATTCTTAATCCTGAACAATACTGATCAAGTCAATCCAACTGATATCTCTAGTCAAGCAAAATACAAGAAACCAAGGAAATGCATGGGCTTTAATTGTAGGATCTGGTGATTGGTAGTTATTGAAGATGACATTTTATAAGATACTGTGAGTCTAAAAGTGTTCGTACAATCGTTGTGGTTATCACATTTTCACTACTTTTACCAATTCACAACATGGTCCTGCCAACTCTCAAACAGTAATTCCCCCATTCCCCTGCTCTCAGATCATAATCAGACAATGAGCTACTTGAGGGATTACCATAAAAGTCTTTATTCCACTTGGGTAATTATAAGTACCCACTGCTACATAGTCAAGGGACAGATACAACAAAACAACAACTAACACAACTAGCTTCAAGTGGGAGTGAAATTCACACAAAAGAAACCGAACAAATCAAGTCATCAGTTACACTAATAGATTGTGCATTTAAAGTCTTTATTGAAAAAACAAATGTCAGTGAAAAAGATAAAAGAAGGGATGAAATCAACATAAATTGTATGGCACTTCAAATAGCTCTCCTTTTATATATTAAGTCATACAAATGCCAGATGATTAGGGTAGTGACCTACAGTACATGAATATTAGCTTCCTGCCTGCACACAATGGGAATTCAAGTGACAAACAAAATGTTAAATGAGTTTTTGTTGCTGAATACTTGAGGGAAAAGCACCCTTGTGTACACTTATACTGTGTTTTTCTTCTTCAAATTTCAAGTACATCTTCTAATAAGGATTATTTACTTCAACAACTGGCTATTTTTACTGAT